GTTGGAACAGTAACGAAATGTTTTTTATAGTAAGAAATAGAGGTTTAGTGGTAATAAATAGAAATTTTCCTACTAAATAAGACATTCTTTTTACTCGTCACGTCATAAAATCTTTTAAAAAATGAAATATAATGAGTTAAATATATAATTTTGATCAAAAATAACTGTAAAATATCCACGTTTTAATGATGTAATTAACTGATTAACAAATGTCTAACGTTTAAATTAAGAAAATCTTCATAAATTGAGTTATATTTTGAAGAAAATCTCTATTTTTTGGATTCTCCTTTGAAGAAAATCTCTATTTTTTGGATTCTCCTTTGAAGAAAATCTCTATTTTTTGGNTATGATTTTAGGCTTTATAATGCTATAAATAATACGAAAAATTAACAATTAATAATAGATTTTACACCATAATTTAATCAGGATAATCACACTTTCATCTGTATCACTTTAAATATATTAAAGCATAAAATTAAAGCCAAAAAGTTGGGATTTTGGCCTTTTAAATAATTTTAATTAATTTTAAACTTAGAAGGTTTTAAATTATAAAAAAAGTAAACAAATTCCGGCCAAAAATACTCATAAAATTAACTTAAGTGAGTAAGAAAATCAGCAGAATCACAGATTAAATTCTCATTGAAGACAGAGAAAATTAAATTCCTTACACAAACAAAACCTATAGTTTATATATTTTTATATATCAATTAAATATCATTTACTAATTAAAATTAAATTTTTTAATAAGAATTAATAATATTAATCACCATGGAGAGAAAAAGAGGAGGAAGCTCATCACCCTTGGCACTATAATCCATCCTTTTGTAACCATAGCAACGGGATGGTGCTGCTTCTGCTTCTCCATTCATCCTAATTCCATTACACGCTTATTTAAGTCGAAACACCTTCCGTAAGCCTAACTAAATTTACTTCACGGGTCACACCGACTAAGGTTTGGAACCATCACGATGTGTTGCAGACTCCTTAATGATGCTCTCATTAAAATACGCACTCCCTCCCCCCTGTTAGTTTAAGCAAAGTGGATAGCACTTCATTATGTCGCCATAGCTTCCAATATGGTAAACAGCTGTCTTTGTAACAGCTATAAAAATCTACAAGAACGCCTCTTACACCCTCCGTATAACGTTTTGATTACCTCCCCCCCCCGATTTAAGCACTTAAGCAGGGAGTTTCGAAGTAGAATATACACCGTTTTCAATTACACACCAGTATAGAAGATGATTCAATAATTCGGCTTCTATCCCGCATATAATAACGTTCTGATAACCCTTTATAATATATGGCGCATTAAGGAGGTGATAGAACCCTTTTATTAAGGAAGATTTTATATAATAAGCTATACAGTACACGTTTAAAATAAGGCATTAAAAATAGGCTAAAATTCTAATATAAGGCGTGTAAAATTTTGAACCAATTCAATAATATGTGTATATCGATAACACAGGTCATCCATATCAAGTACAGTACACTTACTACTACAATTAAATGAGTAATTAATTAAATTCGCGCATCATCACCATCAGCATTCGCATCGTCAATATGGAATTTAAAAGGTTATGAAGGTAACTGATATTAGGGAAAGCTCAATTTTTAAAGGGTTTGTTACATAAGGGTAAGTCGTAGAGGGGTTCTGGTCAAGTGTTCACACGATTAGGGTGATTTGTATTAAGGTAAGCTTTAAGTCTTAAGAGGTAGGTTTTATTTGGTGGGATAAGGCAAAGCAACACGTGGGCGATCTGCCTACTGCGAGGACTTTATAGTTATGGATAAAAAGAAAAAAATCCACGTTGGTGAGGTGCGAACCCGCGACCAACTACCAGAAGTCGTATAGGAGTATGTTCGTATGATTAAGATAAGTCGTAGAGGAATAAGGTAAAAAGTGAGGGGTGAGTTCATGTATTTAAGGTAAGTCCTTAAAGCTCAAAACGCAATAGGGGTTCGAGAGAAGGAAAAAAAAATAAAAAATAAAATAAACTTCTATCGTTTACCAAAACTTTTAAAAGGAAGAAAAAAGAAAGAAAGGACAAGCGAATGGAAAAAGCCAAGTTGTAAAACTGAACGACAGACAACCCCATGCGGGTATAAGTCCCATGGGTGCCCCTTCGGTGGCTTCTTCTCTGCCGATCCACATCCGAAAAGAGTAGTCTAACCTGTTTCTACACAAGTAAAATAACATCAAAGTCTCTGTTTTTTCCCTACCTTTTCTCCCCCTCGACCCCCCACCTTTACTCGTTACGACTCCTTTAATTATAACAGTAACTTTACGGTTGTTGGACGGGTTTTGAAAGCTATAAAAAATACAAAAAAAAAAACTAAGGCCAAATTACAAAGTGTCAAATGGACGATTTATACAAGAATTCGGTCGTAACCATAAAAAAGAAGAAAAAAAATTTGACGTCAGATTTGAAACAATCAGAAGCAATTCTGAACAGCAGAATAGCTGGCTTGATGGGAAATATTTGCTGCCCAAATGGACAGGACAAACTTCTCTTGTATGTCTTGACTGTCTGAACGTTCCCCATATAACCAAGAGGTGAAGAAGAAATAGAAGGTAAGGAAAAAAAAAAGAAAAAAAAAAAAAGGCAATTACATCTCACTCGGGATTTGTCCCCGCCAGTGGGGATGAAATCAAATCAGTAGCTGTGCCATTGCGAATGTAGTGCTGCATACCAATACATACCAGAATTAGATTTTTTTTTCTTATTTTATTCTCCCTCTCTGACACGTGATGTGCCAATATTGTGCCTTTGAAAACACTACTTATTGCATAAATGAAAGTATATATATGTGTGTGTGTGTGTGTTGTTGCGCATTTTTCTTGAGTAAATTCCATTTCCTGATGGAGTTCTTGGTGCTGATGTTTTCACGCAATACTTTTAATCTTCCCCTCCAAAATAAGATTTGGGGGAAGATTAATTGTGGTTGGCCCTAATTTTTACCTTTTAAAATTTATTACAAGGTTTAAATATGAGGATAAATAGAGAAGAGCCTACGAAGTACCTTCTATGCTCTTCAGTAATCCTTAAATATACAAATTTATCCCTACAAAGTTAAGTATACTTTGGGCTTCAGCAATGCCAATTGGGCTCAAAATACGAGCAATTTTCACTAAAATATTAAATTTTATATTTTTCGTTACACTTCACAGGTTGCAACGAGGAGGGAACTTCACAGAAATCACGAAAAAAGAAATCAAAATTAGGCCCTACACTAAATTGAGGTAATGTACCTAATTAAGGACACATCCTTAATTGTTATAATTGCGTCATTACCGATTTTTGTGTCCGGAACAAGAGAAGCAATTACAATTAGGGGGAAAGAAGGGAATTTTTTTTTTCTTTGTATGGGTATGAAACACGAGAGGATCCACTTGATCCAAGTGAAAGTTGCAAAACTCTAGTTGGCAAAATTAGTGTAGTTGGCTCCGCTATCAAGATAGAAATTGGGCGTATAGAGCACGTGTAAAGGAAACTTGGAGGAGCAAAAGGGGGAGGAAAGACGGTTCATTACGGTTCACGTGACAAAAGATGAGAGGATTTTCTAGTCACGCCGGTTGTTCGTAGATTGATAAATACAGTTAGCGTAATTAAAATGGGTGGGTGGTCATTGTAAAATGGAGATTAGGAAACTGAAGCAACGACTCTTCACGCACGTACGTGGCTATTTGCGGCTTTGTTGTAATTAGAGATCTTAATGCCTATCTTCAGTTTGATTAAGTTTGTTTGCCGAAGTGAGAGACACAAAAGTATAGAAAATTAAGCGATACACTTTGACACTAGTTAAATTTATTTAAATTACCATTGCCTTTTTGCATACCTGCCAAACTTTTAATGGGAGGGTGACGAATTTCTAGAAAATAAAGCCGAAAATCCGATTATTAAACACAGTCTACGGCTCGTCCCCCTTCTGAAAAACCGCATTTTATGTGTTTTGGTCCACCCTCCGTTGCGGAAAACTTACCAAATGTAAAAAGACACGCTTCAGAGTTCGAACGGTCTTCCTTTTTTTCTGAAATGGATACGATTTTATAACCCACACTCGAAAGTTGGAGCGATACTTATTGAAGGGGGGCACGTTTATGGACGAATGCAGCGGTTGTTTTTAACATTTGTAACTTTATGTGTTACGTTTTAGATAAAGTAAACCTCGTGCGAGTGAGTTTCTTAGAATAAAGGATCTAAATTAATTTTTTTATTATAATTCAGCGTTAATTGTAAAATCACTGGATATAGAGATCGTATTAGTGAAGGAAGGGTAATTTATAAGAAATATGGTTTAAAACTGGTTATATTTTTTTAAAAAATAAAGAAAATGTGTTGGTTTTTTTCTTAGTTTCTTGTATCATGACAGAATATTTGTCTGCTTTGACGGGCGAGAAAACAACAGAGCGCTAGGTTTTCCAATGTCAGCGTATGGCCTGTAGTCTCGTGTCTCTGGCTGTGTGCCAGATCTTAGTAATTGACCGCCGACGGGTGCCAGTTGCCAGTTGGGAAAAAGACTCCCTTCTGTCTCCTGTACAACTCAATGCATTCTGCAAATGTGGACAATATTCTGTCACATAGATTTAATATAAGCAACCCTCTTATAAATATCCCAAGCTGAATACATCCGTGAAGAACATCATCGTTCCACTTTTACCAATAGTGAAGCGTACGTCTTGTAGATCTGGCGGTAATTAACGCTTGAAATTCTTCGAGAAATGGCGCGAATGGTGTAAAATTGGGCACTTTTAGAACCGTTCAACTTGTTGTTTATGAAGATTACAAGCGTAAAAAGCCCATTTCCGGTGAGTTCTATCAAATTTCTTGAATAAAATGGGCACGATTCCAATATTAGAACGTAAAAAAGTAAACTGTAGAAAGTAATGTTAATTACGGGGGATGTTTTTTATAAGTGACGTCCTCGTGCGACCACACACGAGATTTTAACACGAAAAAACAGACTTTATGTGGATAAATGAGTACAGAAAAAGTACTTACTGCATTAAAATTAATTCTTTACAAGTTGGCGAAGATAGTTGAGTGAAACGAACTCATTGTATGTGACAATACACGAAGGTTATGTGACAGGCTATGGTAGGATACAACCAACCCACAACCGTTTATCTTCAGGTAACAAATTTCTCTGCTGGTCCCGTCGACAGTTGGGTGGACATCCCATGTTGATGAATTGACTCACATTTGGTCACTAGAGAATATGCCAGATTTTCCAGGAGTAAAGACAGCGTAATGTATAGTTAGAAGGACAGAAATTACTAATGTTTTTGTGGTGATTTAAAGGAAAATTTCATCATAAAAGTTAATCATATCACATTCCTTCTTCCGTTTCGTGTCGTTGCCAATGTCCAGTTAAGTAAATTGGATCGACGCCCTGTCCACCACCGCCCTGTACACACCCATCACTATTACTCTATAACAGATGGGTAAACCGATCAATGGGGAGTAAAAATACCCAAAAAGTTGAAGGAAAAAAATGTATTTTCTTTTTTTTTTTCTACACAACACAGCCATCAACAGGCATTTATTGTTAATAATAAATTATCTATAGTGTCGGGGGGTACGGTACTTGTTGTGTGACGAAAAATATCGAGTTACTCTACAACTTCTCATTGGAAAGTGCATCCTACCCATCGGCTTAAGGCATCCAATTTCACCCACTTCATAATAGGAAACGGATCTTGATGGCAGCTCAACTAAACAAAGATGATTAACGTCTATCCCGCAGGATATATCGGGATTCTACCTTCCTCGCTTGACTAACAGTCTGTCACCTTCCGTCATCAGACATATTCAACAATCCTAGTTTGTTATGAATGCTGGCAACTGTTGTGGTGATGTCTATTGATCCGGTGCATCCTCTATCGATAAAAGTTAATTTCGCTGCCTAAAAAAACACTAAAATATACCCCAACTTTGACTCCATTTTAAATGAATTCCATCTGAATTAATCTTGATAAGTATCAGCTTATGACAGCTTCCATCTTGTTCGTTGGAGCATTACTCCAGATTATCAACTTAAATTTTAATGTTTCCGCGAATAAATCGTACGTAAAGGTTTGTAATTACTATTCTCTCATACTTTACTTTTGTTTTATTATAAATTTATAAAAGAAATAAAATAGAAGGAAGAGAAAAATTACAGATTACAGATCGTTGGTTTAGGAGCGCTCGCAACTGTTGTTCTGATCTTATTGATTTATACGCATCTCCTGCCAATAAAGTTAGGTCATATAAAGGTTTTTATATAAAATAATAATAAAAATCGCTTCGAATTTAAATTTTCTTTTGGAATTTTCACCAGACTATAAATTAAATTCGAATTAATCCTGTTAAGTATCAGCTTACGAAACTTTCTGTCTAGTTTAATGGAGAATTACCCAGATTATCACCTTAAATTTTAATGTATTTTGGAGTAGAACACTTGTAAGACTTATAATTATTCTTTTACCATGTTTTTCTTTCATTTATTTATGAATATACAAGTAAAAAGCATTATAAGTCACGAATGCTGTTGTGCTGATTTCGATTCGGAGCATCTTATAGGGGGGAATGTCTAATTCAAGACGATTTTACGCAAAAAATACACCCCAAATTTACTAAATTACATACAATTTTTATCTTCCAAATATTAAGAAAGCGTATGAATTAATTGTATTTAATCTTGATAAGTATCATCTTATGACAGCTTCCATATTGTTCGCTGGAGCATTATCACCTTAAATTTTAATGTATCTTGGAGTAGATCGTATATAAGATTTATAATTACTCTTCAAATGATGTTTCTCTTTATTTGAAGCGCAAATAGACGGAGAAAAAAACAAAATTTAAAGAAAGAGAAAAATTACAGATTGTTAATAACTCGCAAACACGAACTGCTTCAGGCATTGACTGGAAGGCAAATGCAATCAAATGAAGTTGATTTTAGTTATGAATGTTTCATGAAGGCAACTTAATTAATGACATCTCCAAACGTCGACGTTGATAACTTCAACTGTCTGATTTTGTCCCAAGATAATCAAGTATAGTATTGCAGAGCATCTACTGTATATGATTTTTGATCTTATCTGCATCACTAACTGTTATACAAAACTAGGTAAGATGATGATCATCCCGAAGTGATGCCGTAAATTTTCAGTCATTACTTTATGTAAAATGACCATATTCATGAATGGAGAAAGGTTATGGTGGCAATTTTAAACGGATGATTAGCATTATAATGGATTCTAATTAATAGACAGATCGAAGAAGATTATGGATGCAGAAATTCCATAATAAATTTTCAAAATGAAATAAACTTAAAATGGATAATTCTATATTTGTTATGGTTTATTAATAATCGAAACTAAACAACTGTCAGATCGAGTGGTAATATATCAAAGACCCCACCTTATGGTAGTAATATAGTTATGGTTACAATTTAAACTTATGTTTTATAATGGCCTTTATAGACGTTATCAGAACCATACTCACATATCATTCCTTCAACGTTCCTCATCCCATATTCATCCAGTTTTTATTCAAATGTTCCTCACGCAGAATTCTCGTGGAATTATTTCAACTCTCCCAGAATAATTGTTCACGTAATACTTAGTCCAACAGTTATTTAAACATTCCTGTAATCAATAACTGGGAAAATTCGAGTAGAAATTATCCAAATCCTCTTATACAGTTATTGAGGCTTCCCTCACACAGCAGCTAGTAACAGTTTTCATTCAACAGAAGTTAATCATGAAAACGTTAAACTTCCCTCATATAACAGATACCGAAACTTCTCACAATAAATAGTTTTTCTTACTGAAACTCCTTCACAAAAATTACTAAAACTTTCCTCATTAATCAACCTCACATAATACCGAAATTTCCCTCACGTAACAGATATCAGAACTTCTCTTCTCCCACTCTAAAGAGCTTCTTTCATTGAAATTCCCTCATACATACCTCTTCCCTCAACAAACTTTCCTCATATAAAATTTACAGAAACTTCCCCTCATACAACAGTTATTGGAACTTCCTCATACCTCTCAGATACTATACGAATCCACGAAAACGTTTCAAAATCTCATTGAGAGAGCACCACAAAGAGCTCATTGAAAACCCTGGTTTGTTAGAGTAATGAACTTTTTTCCGTAAGGTTAAAGAGTAGAGAATATCCTTCAAGCGAACAAGCTAAACTGGCTCATTTCCATCCTTAATTTAATAACATCGAACAAGTAAAACTTCTATATCTACGTTTTAATATCGTATAATTGATGGCATCATTACATAGCAGACAATAGACGATGTGCCCTTGTAAACGATAATTACTCGACAGTAAGAAAAATTCACAAACATATTAATTAACTGAATGAATTTAATATTTTAATAAGCCAATTATTATTATTATTCGTAATTTTTAAAATAAATTCTTACAATAGTTTTCAAATATTCTTTTTCATTTCTTAACAATGGGATGAATACTTTAATGGGGATAAGTCCAAATTTTTCAAATTATTCTTACATAAATATACATTCTTTTGAAAAAAAAAGAATGCTTAAAATCGATTTTATGATGATTAATTTACTAAATTTAATTACTTTTTACTCGTAAATTTTATTATTTATGGCTTTAGAATGATGCACGTTCATTTTTATCCTCATCCTTTCCTCTCAACTTAAAGATGAGGAGGAAGAATTGATCAAAGAAGATAAAGTTTAAATGATGCACGCTGGTAAGAAAATTCTGAAATTTTTACTTAATATTTTCATATAAGAAGCGTTTAACAATAAAGGTCAAAGGTTAAGACTCAAATTTCTTTAACCTTTCATCTTACATAACATGGATTCTAATTAATAGTATGTATGGGAATTGTATGGGAAGTTCGCACCTATTTAAGTGTTAAGAAACGAGAAAAGTAACATTTTTTACTTTAGAAACAGGAAACAAAACTAAAATTTCCATTTCACAAACAGGAAATAAGCAGAAGCACGTTTCTCCTTCATCAAACAACGAGAGAAAACTAACATTTTTGCATTTCAAACATAAAATAAAACACATTTTCACTCCTCATCTTCGAGAGTATATAGAAAATGAAAATTTTACCATCCCAATCACAAAAGCAGATCAAAATTTCACTTCACAAACAGAAGAAAAAGAACTTAAAACTTTTCAGTTTTTAAAGCAAATAAGAACGTCGAGAGAAGTGTTACATCAACACCTCCCATAGATCATTACATATAAATGAAAAACATAAATCTATGTAACATTTTACTTAAAATTATGACATTTAAGCTTTACACATCTCTTCAGAAAGACGAGAAAAGAAGAAGAAAAAAAAAGAAGTGATTCATATTTGATGTGTTAAAACAGCTTTCATTTTATTTGTTTGAAAAGTAAGAAAACAATTTTTACAAAGAGTTTGGGGAGGGGGGAAGCAAAAACCAATTGAATTGCTAACATTTCGAAAGGGATGTACATAACATCTGCAACCTTTCATGAATATTTGAAGGCATTTTAAAGGAATGACTTTAACTTAGTAAATTACTTTAAAGTCCTGTAGATGTTGGCATTCAATTTTCTTCCAAACTCTAAGCGAAGATTATGCTAATCCAGTAAAAATGATTTACAGAATAACCAACAACCCTCCTTTATATATACAGCAATTGGTATAGTTATTTACAAGATATGATTTTTTTTTCCTGTTTCTTTCTCTTACTTCTATTTTCTTTACTTTTCATTTTTATACTTGACTTATTTTATTTATATTCAACGTTTTGGAAATTTATTTCTGTTTATAGAGTGCCTTTCGAAATGCGTAAGTCGATATTTCTTCCTTTGAAATGTTTCTCTGAAGTCAACTTAAATATACACAGAATATGAAGAAAAAATTTCATTTGCTTCCTGTCATAATCCTTATTTTTTCCCATCGAAATATTGGAAAATTTTTATAAGAGTTTGCACTTTTTCTTCCTTAGTTTTGTGGCAATAGAAAATTTCCATGTCCCGATTCCACTTCTTAACTTCTATTCATTTTCTAATTTCTATTTCTTATTCCATTGCTTATCCATCGTTCTTCCAATCTTCTATTTTATTGTTTATATTTAATTTTTACTTCTGTTCTTCTATATTTGCTTTCTACCA